TCATCGTCATCATCATCATCATCAGCATCAGCATCAGCATCAGCATCATCATCATCATCAGCATCATCATCATCGTCATCATCATCATCATCAGCAACAGCAGCATCATCAGCAGCATCGTCATCATCGTCATCCTCATCCTCATCATCATCCTCATCATCATCATCATCATCATCATCATCATCATCATCATCATCATCATCATCATCATCATCATCATCATCATCATCATTATCAACAACATCATCATCATCATCATCCTCATCATCAAATTCATCATCATCGTCATCATCAACATCCTCAACATCATCAGCATCATCATCAGCAGCAGCAGCATCATCGTCAGCAGCATCATACTCCGCAGCATCAGCATCATAAGTCTAATCATCATCATCGTCATCATCGTCATCAGCATCAACCTCAGCATCATCAGCAGCATCGTCAGCATCATCATCAGCAGCATCGTCATGAACATCATCAGCATCAGCATCATCATCGTCATCATCATCACAACCATTACCACCATCAGCATCGTCATCATCATCAACACCACCACCATCATCATCATCATCATCATCATCATCATCTTCATCATCATCATCATCATCATCATAAACATCAGCATCATCAACAGCATCGTCGTCATCATCAGCATCAGCATCCTCATCATCATCAGCATCAGCATCATCATTAACATCATCAAATATGATCAACAACATCACCATCATCGTCATCATCAGCATCATCATCGTCAACATCAGTATCATCATCAGCAACATCAGCATCAGCAGCATCATCATCGTTATCATCTTCAGTAGCAGCAATATCATCATCATCATCAGCACCATCATCATCAACACCATCAGCAGCAGCATCGTCATCGTCATCATCAGCATCATCATCATCAACACCATCAGCAGCAGCATCGTCATCGTCATCATCAGCATCATCATCATCTTCGTCATCATCATCATCATCATCGGCTTCATCATCATCATCAGCGTCATCAGCTTCAGTAGCATCAGCATCATCAGCATCATCACCACCATCACCACCACCACCATCATCATGATCATCATCATCGTCATCATCGGCACCATCATCATCATCATCGTCATGATCTTCAATAGCATCATCATCATAATCATCAGCATCGTCATCGTCATCATCGTCATCATCAGCAGCATCATCATCAGCATCGTCATTATCAGCAGCATCAGCATGAGCATCATCATCATCATCATCGTCATCATCCTAATCATCACTACCATCACCATCATCATCACCACCATCACTATCACCATCACACCATCATCATTACCATCACCATCACAATAATAATCATCGTCACCATCATCACCACCACCACCACTACTACCACCATCACAATGCTCATCTTCATCCTCCTCATCATCATTCTCATCCTCACCCTCGTCATCATCATCATCATCATGATCATCATCATCATCAGCAGCAGCAGCATCATCAGCATCATCATCACCATCATCATCACCTTCACCATGACCAACATCATCATCATCATCATCATCATCATCATCATCATCATCATCATCATCATCATCATCATCATCATCATCACCGTCATCAGATTCATCATCATCAGCAACATCATCATCACCCGCATCATCCGCCTCATCCGCCTCCTCATCATCCTCAACCGTCCCTCCCTCACTCCTTCTCGGAATTTCTCATCCTCCGCATCCCCAGCCTCGTCCTCACTTCCCGCGCAACCACAATCATCATCCTCATCCTCCTCACCAACCTCATCATCCTCATCATCCTGCGCATCCTCACCCTCATCCTCATCCTCATCATCAACATTATCATCAGACTTCCCATGCCCTCTCCTCCCCTCCTCCTGCGCGCAGCCCCGCCCGCGCCTCCAGCTGATCCCACAGCTGCTCCGGCTTCACCACGAAGCGCGCGTACAGCAGGCCAGCGCACCGGGATACGGGCGACTGCGGGTGGGGGGGGGGTTCAAACAGGAGGGCGCAGGAGTAGAACTTGGCGGCGCGCACAAAGGGGTGGGGCGAGGGGCGACTGGTACGCAAGCGGGGTGCACCTCAAAAGGCATCGAAGACCTCTGGGAAGCCTGGAGGGCGTCTGAGAAAAAGTGTGCCTTCTTCTGCGGCCACCCCACTCGTCCCACCAAGTTCTGCGCATATGCGGGTTCGCGTTGCCAGCTACATACTGAAAACGTTTGGTGTGGCTTCCTTGCTTCTGTTATGAGTGCCCGCCCTTAGTGTATGCTGATGATGCACGTTCCTGGTGCCTGATACAGACGTACATTAGCGCTGCATGGCGCTGATGTTCGCGATTTATACAGCCTGGTGTCGATGTGTTCGTAGGCTTATGGTTTGCGAACTGGCATGTGCTACTGTGTACGCGAATGCGGCCGCCCGCACGCCCGCCCGCCCGCCCGCCGACCCCAGTTTACGACCATCACAGGTACATGCATTCCTACTCCTACTGTCACTGCTGCTACGAGTGCTGCAACTACTCCAACTGCTGCTACAAATGTACATATGATCCAAAGACTAACTGAGACTGCTCCTCCTCCTGCGACTCCTCCTCCTCCTCCTCCTCCTCCTCCTCCTCCTCCTCCTCCTCCTCCTCATACTGCCACTCCTGCTGCTACTGCTACTCGCACTTGGCCTGATACTTCACCTGAAACTCCCACTCTCGATTCCACTCCCCGCCGCCCATTCCCCAGCCCAATATTCCCGCTCCTCCTTCCAGCCCAGGACGCATAGCACGAGGCCCCTCCCCGGAGAACGCGCGTCCTCGGCGTGGTCCAGGAGGGTTTGCATCTCCTCGCCGAGATGGTCCAGGGTAAAGAGGCGGTACACGCAGCAGAAGAACACGGACGGAGACGTCGTGCTGCCGGCCTGACAGCGCGGGGGGAGCCACAGAGATGGACAGGCATTGTGAGGTAGAGAACCGAACAAAGAAAGGCGAGCCTACAGCTCACCGCAATGCGCTTCGGGGGAACGAATTGTGTTGGAAGAATGGTAATTCAGGTCCAGGTCGTGAACAGACGGTGAAAGCCGGGAGTTGCCACAGCCACCGCCTGGAGGGAAGCTGTTGGGGATCACATGTTCGGAACGCGCGAGGAAGATCCTGCAGGGAGGCGGAAAACCACCTTCACGATGAGCACCCCGACGAGCGGAGCCATTTTTTATCCTAGCAGACACACCCAGGGAAGGGATCGAACAGGGCAGCGCTGTTCAATAAAAGCCTAGGGCCATACAGTCAACCCGTACAGCAAGGATGCGCGATAAGGATGCAAGGGCCTTGTGCACCCAGTTCGGAGCTTCCCGACCGGGGCGCGGCCAACGAAAGCGGCCAAGGATGGACCGAGGAGGCAACGATGCAAGGGTACCGTTGGGAGGGTTGCCCATCCTTACTGTGCGGGTTGACTGTACAGCAAACGCAGATGCCGGGGTCGGAGTGGTTCTTGCTCCCCCCTTCGACGAAGCCCCCTGGCAGGCAGGGCCCACCACGCCTCGGCGAGCCGGCGCCTCCACACAGGGGGAGCACGGCGGGGGCTCCCGGCGATGCCGAGGCCTCCCGGCGGGGGCCCGAGCGGATGGGCATAAGAGGAACGCGCCGCATCGCCGATGCATCGGCGAGGCATCGGCGATACATCCGCACGCCCAGGCCCACGCCCCCGCCCCCGCCCCCGTCCACACCGACGCCCACACACCGACGCCCCCGCCCACGCCCACGCCCACGCCGATGCATCGTCGTCGACGTCGCCGATGCATCGGCGCCGTCGGCTTGGAGAAAAGGGGGTTCCGCATCGAGCCGCATCGCCGATGCATCGGCGATGCGGCGCGATCCTCCGATCCCATCTGCTCGGACCTCATCTTGGAGGCCTGGGTACGAGGAGCCGATGGTCTCGGAATCCGTGATTTATCCTTTACCATAGCGTCTGTGGTTCTAGGCCGAGCACGAGCAGGCGGCTGGCACATGGGCTACGGCGACTGACCCAGGCCCGTGGCGTCATGGCGTCTTCGTGGCGCGCCCTCCCCCGCCCCCCCTTTCGAACAAAGGCAAGATCGGGACAAAATCGGATCGGATAACTCAGGAATCTCTGAGAGCGGCGGGCACGGAGGATGTGTCGGGCGCCGCGGCCATTCCGGAACGCTCTGGAGCGACGTATGCCGATCCCAGAGCTGCCTGACCCCTCCCTGGGGGACCAGTTTCGTCCCGGATCGTCTTTCGACGGCCAAGGGGACCCAAACGAGCATCCCTGGCCCGCATCACGGAGGGTATCGCGACCCCCATCTCCGACTCCGTTGGGTTTTCGACTGGGCGAAAAGAAATGAGCCCAACTCGGGGATACGGCGTCAACCCTCAACAGGGGTGATTCGGATAGCCCGCTTGGGGGGTACCCCCGAGCTTCCCCTCCTTTCTGAGCGGCCAATCGTGTGCGGGGTGAGCAAGGGGATTGAAGGCAAGAAATCGTCTGCGATCGAGCATGTGGAGAACCAAAAAAGAAACGTCTGCCCTCACGATCGTGTCGTCACGAGGGGGTCTGGGAGCAGCCAGTACGCCCCACGGACCACCGCCGCCAGGCGGGTCGGACGAAAGACATGGGAGGCTATCGAACCAGCTCACGAAACTGATTTTCGGGGCGCCTTCCAGCGCAAGGAGGTGCCAATGCATCGAGGAAAGCGCACGGCGGCGGTGCCGAAACCGACTGCGCGCCGCAGTTTTCGAATCCCCCCCTTTCCAAGTCCCCCCCTTTGCCTGGAGGCCTCCCAAAGGAGGGTCCGAGCAGCTGGGGTCGGAGGATCGCGCCGCATCGTCGATGCATCGGCGATGCATCAGCGATGAGTCGGCGACGTCGGCGTGGAGAAAATCGGGCTCCACATCGAACCGCATCGACGGTGCCTCGGCGATGCGGCGCGATCCTCCGACCTCATCTGCGGTCAAGAACCTCTGCCTGGCGTGCCGCGGCGACGGCCCCGGCGACACGCCGCGCCTTGCGAGCGGAGAGCGTGCCGTTCAGCTCCGCGGTGCTTTACCACCCTCGAACGTATCCCTATCCTTAGGATTGACACGCCAAAAGGCGATGACAATCTTAGGGATTCGCCCTCAAAAAATAAGGGAATCCCTAAGATTGGCATCGTGATGAGGAGGTGCCCAGCATAGGGATAGGGATATGTTCCAGGCTGGTAAGTGCTGGAGGCTGAGAAAAGCTCGGGACGTTGACGCTCGGGGCCTGGGAAGTGGCTTCGCGTGCCGCGCCGAGGCGCGGTGGGCCAGAACCCGCGGCACGACACGCTGAGCCAACGCCCCCGCCTGCCTCGGGGAGCCCCTTGGAAGAAACCGAAGCCGCCCAGCCGGAGCCAAGACCAGACCGCTGCGCTCGAGCATGCCCGGGTCAGCCCAGGGGCGGGCGACGGCATCGGGCGGGGCGGGTGGCCCTGGGCCGTCTGCTGCTGCAGCTCCGCCCGGCGGCAGCGGGAGGGGAGGGTGCGACAGGGTTTGGGCCCTCGGGCGAAGAGCGCCCTCACGGCTTCACCCGCACTCTCTCCCAGCCTCCTGAGGCGGACCACTCCATCTGCGGGCTCCTGAGTTGGGTCCACGTCCGCTGCAGCTTGGAGTCTCGGGCTCCCGTCACCCCAGAAGCCCGAGGCGCACTGGACATGGACAACAGGCTGGCCCCGTGGAGGCTCCACTTTTATGCATATCCAGTGCGCCCTGGCCTTGCGGCGCCCCTTCCGAGAAAGTCCAAGACGCACTGGATGTGGATATGCATCTTGCCCGCAAGACCATTCCATCCGCTCCACTTCATGCCTCGCTCCTCCCCACGCTCCGTCGAATAGTAGCGGAGCGAAACAAGACAGAGGACCCATCAGCCCTCGGGAGGAGAGCGCCCGATCCAGCGCCTCCACTAACCAGACTCGAATATATCCCTATCCCTAACATGTGCAAGTCAAAAGCGATGACAATCTCGGGGATGTGCCTCCAGAAACGGAGGGAATCCTCAAGATCGGCACCGAGGCAAGGTGATGCCGAATATGGGGATAGGGATGTGTGTGTTCACTCTGGCGACTCACCGCTGAAGCTTCACTCCATCCCCGCCATCCCGAAGCAGAGCTGGGGGAGCAACAGCAAAACCAGCGGCACGCCGCCGTGGGGGGGGCCGTCGGCGTGCTGCTGCTGACGAACCAAGGAGCACGTGACGCACTGACGGGAGCCCAGCGGCGCGGCGTGTCACTGATGCTCTCTCTGCAACTCCCGAGAATGAAGGGTCCCCAGGACACACAAATAAATACACACAAATAAAAAGGTTCCCCATATTTTTTTTGTATTTTAGGGGTTTTTGTCTTCCCCCCCATTTCCCCTTATTTTCCCATATGTTGCTGGGGATCGACGATTAATTGTGTCTGTGTGTTTTTTCCTCTCCTGAGAGAAGCAGTCAGTTCCATCCGGCCCATTCCGTTCCTCGCCCCGCCCTGCAGACTCCGTCCAGGAGGAGCGGAGAGAGACGAGGCAGAGAACACTCCCGTCATCCCGCTGCTCCTCTGGCCTCGTCCTCCTGCTCGCCCAGGCAGCTGCGACCGCCCTCAGAGCACAGAGCGACGCCGACGCAACTGGCCAAATGCTAACCTCTCTTGCCGTTCAGCCTCTGGCTCCGCCTCAGCCTCCGCCTTCGTCCTCCTCCTCCTCCTCCTCGTCATCGTCATCATCGTCATCATCATCATCATCATCATCATCATCATCATCATCGTCATCATCATCATCATCATCATCATCATCACCACCACCACCACCACCACCATCATCATCATCATCATCATCATCATCATCGTCATCGTCCTCATCATCATCCTCATCCTCGTCCTCATCCTCATCCTCATCCTCATCCTCATCCGCATCCTCATCATCATCATCATCATCATCATCATCATCATCATCATCATCATCATCATCATCATCATCATCATCATCATCATCATCATCATCCCCTAGGCAGAAGAAACACTACATAGACAGGTCCGCGCGGATTCTCGGATCAGCGCTGGAGCCCTGTCCCTGGCGCTCGCAGCGCGCCAGGGGCGGCGCCAGAGGCGCCACCAGGGGGGTCCAGCGCAGATCCAAGAAACCCGCGCATAGATTCGAAAGGTCCGCTCATGGAGGTTGTCTTCCCTCGATCCAAAGTCCTCGATTATGCTGCTGCGCTGCTCCTCCATTCGGCGGCGAGCCTGGGGGAAGTGCGAGGGGCAGGCCTTCTCAAGAGCGGCGGGGCTTCTCAGAAGCCTTTGCGCCTTCTGACAAGAAAAATGTCGGGGATCTTCTGACCCGGGTCACTGCAAACCGGGTCAGTCAGGCCTTGCAGGATCCTGCGACGTCCTGCAGGATCCTGCAGGATCCTGCACCCAAGCCTGGGTCAGTGCGCCCCTGCCCCTGGAGGATCCTGCAAGACCCAGCGCACTGACTGACCCCAATTTGCACTGACCCCCGCCTCTTTAGCCCCGACGTCTGCGTCTTCGGAGACGGCCGGCCCCCTCTGCCTTCCTAGAGGCATCCCAGATGGGGTTCGAGTAGATGGGGTCGGAGGATCGCGCCACATCGCCTATGCCTCGGCGATGCCTCGGCGATGCCTCGGCGATGCCTCGGCGATGCATCGGCCTCGTTAGCGGTGCATCGGCGACGCTGGCGTGGAGAAATTCTGGCTCCACATCGAGCCGCATCGTCGATGCATCGGCGATGCGGAGCGATCCATCGACCCTATATGGCTCGACCCTCTCTGGGAGACCTAGACCCCCGCCATGTGCCAGCAGCTGATCCACCCCTACCGATCTTGATAAGCAATAAAAGTACCCCCTAATCCTTCGGGAGGGGACCTGAGTTAGAAGGGCCAAAAACATTAGGGATAGGGGGTCTGTTTTGCAGATGTGTCAAACGAAAGTGTGTTTTTAGGGTTAGGGTTGTATTGTGCTTCATGAAATCTGGCCTGGTAGACCTCAAGGCTGTCGGCGTAGACCTGGCGTCGGCACGCGCGCGAGGTCCCCGAGAGAGAGCCCCCGCCGCGAGACGCTGGCGGCCCGCGGGGGCACCCGGCTGCCCCTGGGAGGGGGGCCTCAACCCAGAGCCAGGCGGCGAAGACACAAATCTCCCTTCTGGTTCCGCGGATGGAGAGCGCCATTTATATACATCTGTATTCTATATGTACATATATGTATACATATATCTATATATGTATATATATATTCATATATATATATATATATACATATATACATATATATATATATGTACCTATGAAGTCACACAGAAAACCTGGCATGCCACCGTCAACCCCACCCTGGGGGGAGGTACGCAGGGAAAACGCATGCGAACTGCGCCACTGGGACCTTCGGTAGATCTCCCTATGGGGCCACGAAACGCTGTACTGGGTGGGGGAGACGCATGTGAAATGTGCCACTGTAACCTTCGGTGGAGCTCCCTCTGGGGCTACGAAACGCTGTACTGGGCGGGGGAGACGCATGCAAACTGCGTCACTGGGACCTTCGGTGGAACTCCCTATAGGGCCACGAAGCGCTGTACGGGGTGGGGGAGACGCATGCGAACTGCGCCACTGGGACATTCGATGGAACTCCCTATAGGGCCACGAAACGCTGTACTGGGCGGGGGAAACGCATGCGAACTGCGCCACTCGGACCTTCGGTGGAGCTCCCTCTGGGGCCACGAAGCGCAACACTGGGTGGGGGAGACGCATGCGAACTGTGCCACTGGAACCTTCGGTGGAGCTCCCTATGGGGCCACGGAACGCTGTACTGGGCGGGGGAAACGCATGCGAACTGCGCCACTGGGACTTTCGGTGGAGCTCCCTCTGGGGCCACGGAGCGCTGTACGGGGTGGGGGAAACGCATGCGGGCTGCGCCACTGGAATCTTCGGTGGAACTCCCTCTGGGGGCACGAAACGCTGTACTGGGTGGGGGGACGCATGCGGACTGCGCCACTGGGACTTTCGCTGGAGCTCCATGTGTGGCCACGAGCGCTGTACTGGGCGGGGGACACGCATGCAAACTGCGCCACTGGAACCTTCGGTGGAGCTCCCTCTGGGGCCACGAAACGCCGTACTGGATGGGGGAAACGCATGCGAACTGCGCCACTAGAACCTTCGGTGGAACTCCATATGGGGGCACGAAACGCTGTACTGGGCGGGGGAAACGCATGCGAACTGTGCCACTGGAACCTTCGGTGGAGCTCCCTCTGGGGCCACGAAACGCCGTACTGGATGGGGGAAACGCATGCGAACTGCGCCACTAGAACCTTCGGTGGAACTCCATATGGGGGCACGAAACGCTGTACTGGGCGGGGGAAACGCATGCGAACTGTGCCACTGGAACCTTCGGTGGAGCTCCCTCTGGGGCCACGAAACGCCGTACTGGATGGGGGAAACGCATGCGAACTGCGCCACTAGAACCTTCGGTGGAACTCCATATGGGGGCACGAAACGCTGTACTGGGCGGGGGAAACGCATGCGAACTGTGCCACTGGAACCTTCGGTGGAGCTCCCTCTGGGGCCACGAAACGCCGTACTGGATGGGGGAAACGCATGCGAACTGCGCCACTAGAACCTTCGGTGGAACTCCATATGGGGGCACGAAACGCTGTACTGGGCGGGGGAAACGCATGCGAACTGTGCCACTGGAACCTTCGGTGGAGCTCCCTCTGGGGCCATGAAGCGCTGCACTGGATGTGGGAGACGCATGCGAACTGCGCCAGTGGAACTTTCGGTGGAACTCCCGATGGGGCCACGAAACGCTGTACTGAACACGAAAACGCATGCGAAGTGCGCCACTGGGACCTTCGGTGAAGCTCCCCACGGGGCCACGAAACGCTGTACTGGGCGGGGGAGACGCATGCAGGCTGCGCCACTGAAACCTTCGGTGGAGCTCCCTCTGGGGCCAAGAAAAGCTGTATTGGGTGGGGGAGACGCATGCGGATTTCGCCACTGGGATTTTCGGTGGAACTCCATATGGGGCCACGAAGCGCCGTACAGGCTGGGGAGACGCATGCGAGCTGCGCCACTGGGACCTTCGGTGGAGCTCCCTCTGGGGCCACGGAACGCTGTACTGGGTGGGGGAAACGCATGCGGACTGCGCCACTGGGACCTTCGGTGGAGCTTCCGATGGGGCCACGAAGTGTGGGGGAGACGCATGCGGGCCGCGCCACTGGGACCTTCGGTGGACCCTGCGAGGAGGGAGGAGGGGGAGGTAGAGGAGGAGAGGAGAGGAGGAACGCGGGGCGCTGTTTCTTAAAGACGAGGACCCAACACCACAGGATGGGTGGGACAAACATGTGGGTGCAAGGATCAATATGAGAAGGCTAAGCGCAGCGAGCCTTAACATTTTGTGTATATGCATGTATATAAATGTGTGTATACAAATGTATCATATATACAGATATACAAGACTGAATTGGCATGCAGGCGGAATGGCAGAAAGGTCGAACAGACAATTTAGCGATAGTCCATGTTGCCTCTGTAGGCATCGCCGTTATAATTATGTGATTCGTTTTCCTTCCTCCATTTGTCTTTTTCCTCATTCTCGCCCTACCCTGCGAATTCTTCCCCATCGTCTTCAGCTCTTCTTGCGGAGGCTCATGCTTGGGGAGCCTCTTGGGGCCTCACGGAAGTTGTTCACGCTTTCTTAAGGCCTTCTGGAGGCCTCATGGGCGTCTTCTGGGGGCTTCTGGGGGCTTCCTCGGACCACCCTGCCTCCAACCGCGGTCTCCCTGAACGACCGGGTCACGATTTGGAATGCTTCAGAAGGTGTCCTGGGCCATATTGGGCCATCATGGGGCTCTTAAGCCATCTTGGAACCCTGTTGTGCCGCCTTGAGGCTCTCTTGGACTGCCTGGAAGCCCTTTCGGATGGTTTTGGGGCGATTTTCGAGCCTCCCAGGCGGTCTCGGACGCCCAGAAGACCGAAGAACAGGGCATTCCCAAAATCATGCAAAAACCTTGGCAAATCAATGTTTCTCTGCGTTTTGAAAACTCTTGGGGGTCCTCTTTGGGTCGTCTTCGGGCGTCTGGTGGGTCTGGGGCCTCTTGGGGCCCTCGAGGGGGCGTTCGGCCACCCTCCTAACCGATTTGGGCCGTTGCCTAGGCCCAACAAGGGCTTCCAGGAACTCTGCTGAAATGCCTGGGGGGCCTCCTGCAGGGGCGTCCAGGGAGTCCCCGGGGCCACGGGTCCGGGGGGGCCCGAGGGTCCCTGGGGCTCGAGGTTCGGGAAGTCCGATTTCGGGGGGGGTCCCGGGCAATCTAAATATATGGAAATTAACTGCACCTATAAATAGACATGTGTTTACATATATATATATATATACATACATACAAACATACATACATACATACATACATACATACAGCCATACATACATACATACATACATACATACATACATACATACAGACAGGCATACATACATACACATAAACATATACATGTACATAAAACTATACCTACACATAAACATACACCTATACATGTATATAAAAAATGTACAAGTGCATGCACATATATAGACACCTATACACATATAAATATAGTCAACGTATACAGTTGCATATACATGTATGTATAACCTTATACTTATACATACGCATACACATGTACATAAACAAATTTATAAACGCGAACATAAACATCAAAATGTACATACATATATATATATGTGCATATACATATACATATGCAAACAGATACACAAAATATACACCTATACATACCTATGAATATAACCATAAATATGCATACATGAATACATACATACATACATACCTATACACATGCATATATCTACACACATGCGCAAATATATACATACAGTACATATACGTATACGTGTACGCATACGTATACGTATACATATACGTATACGTATATATACACACATATGAAATTGCATATGCATGTGCATGTACATAGACATACATATGTATACATATACCTACAAATACATATACACATACAAAAACATATGCATGCACATGTGAATATGCATGTACAGTATTGTGTTATTGTGCACATGTAAATTTACATATACGTATACGTATACACACAACGATCGTCATACATTCATATAGATATGCATGTATATATTCAGATACACATACACATACACATACACATACATACACATGCACATGCACATAGACATACACATACACATACACATACACATACGCATACACATACTTGGTGCGTCGGCGGCAATGCAGAGTCACTGCGCTGGCAATAGACATAGTACTACACATAGACATACGCTTACACCTGTCCCTACACCTACACATACACATACACAAACACAAACACAGACACATACATATACACATGCACATACATATACACATACATGTAAATGTACATACACATTGACATATTCATGTGCGTACACATCTGCATCTACATATGCATCTAACATTACATATACGCATACATCTACAACTAC